AACCATTTACTACGTACCACGCTTGAGGCTCAGATAACGTTCGACTCCTTCTACCGTGACGAGCGCATCTCATTCATCCCTCATGCTTACTTTAACGTTTTGTAGGTCACGCTCGAGATGTTCTTTTTCTGCGAGTGCATGATAGGGGATGTTACAAAGGAAACGCTTGAAAAACAAGGTGTCATTGGTTGGTCACGGTCCCAAAATGGAATTTGATTTTTTTTTAACAATACACGTGAAATTGAACGATTAAAGAATAAAATGATGTGTAAACATTAAAACAACACGCTACAAAGGGAATAAATAAGGAGCTCTTGGGCAAAGTCCTGCCTCAGGGAACGGAGAGCGCAAAGAGAGAGAGAGAGAGAGAGAGAACAGGAAGGAGAGTAAAGAATATACAAGGAGGACACCACAACATACCAAATAGTGAAAGTGAAAAGGACGAGAAATTTACCCGATGCCGTCACGGAGGGAATCGAAGGCCTTGTTGATTTCCTCCAGCTTGAGTTCTTGAGTGACAAATTCGTCCACCATGAGTTCCCCTCTCAGGTATTCCTCCACCAGCTCCGGTAGATCATCTCTTTTGTAACCTACACGTCGATACTCTGGTGAAACTATTGCATCGAGATGAAACCGACTAACCTCTCTCGTTTTAATTTCACTCTGACTCAAGTTATCATTAAAAATTCCAACACGCGAGTGACAGTCTCGAAAAGCGCGTAGCGATCGCCGCAGAGAAAATGGACAGGATGACACAAGAAAGGATCGGACCGTCGGGCTGACCTCCGAAGATGGCTCCTCTGAGCTTGCGTCCGAAGAGGAGTTGGATAGGAGGGAAGGCGAGCTCCACCCCCTTCCCTGCGCCTCCGATGATGGTCGCCACGCCCCAACCTTTCTGCACGCAATCCAGGGCTGCCCGCTGCAACATTCCCATTCCTCATTATTTTCGTAAGGCGAGGAAACCTCGAATCAGATTCACCAACGTTTCTAAGAATTTGGATCGATTATCGATAGGTCTGTGTTCCGATCTCGTGGAAAGTGTCTCAAAAATCCATGCACTTTAAAGGCGGGATTCGCCTCGCGATGAAGACTTGCCATGGCCTGAACATTTCCAACGCATTCAAAGGAGAAGTCCACTCCTCCGTCCGTCATTTCGGCCAGAACCTCTTGAATGGGACGGCCTGCATGGTCCTCCGGATTCACGAACTCGGTGCAACCGAATTTCTCCCCTGCTTTCACAAAGAAGATATTGAAATAGTTACAAAAGCGGGGAAGAGCATTCCGTTACGAAGAACGGAAATCTTTACAGTAATATGAACATTCGTCCGTGAACTGAGAACTTTGTCAGTGACTTGCATGGATGCGGGATTCGAATCCTGAAAATGAAATGTGCATCCAGTAAAGAAACCTTGAATTTACAGTTTATGTCTGAAACCATAGGTAGTGTATTTTCTTCATATTTCAGAAGGTCTAAGTTGAAGGTATGGCACTATCTAAGGATGGGCGAATAGAGGTTGTGGCACGGTGTACCTGGGGAACCAAAAGGCACTTCCAACTACCACAAACATTTGCATTATATGCAAATTTGTGAATGGTTCAAGATTTTTACGGGACACTCAGTAGAAGTGATGACTGAAACATTACTGAGGTGCTTAAATGCCATCGAAAAAGATACGCAATGTTCTGACATGTTGTCCCTTCCCACACCTTGAAACCTTGAAACATCTGAGAATGTCAACAATATGGAAGAGTAATACAGGTAACATACTCTCACTGGGAAAAAAGACGTTTTAGGTTCGTAGCAAATATCGTGGGCGTGGGAAATGAGATGCAGTGGGAGCGTCAAAATGCATCTAAAGAAATTTGACTGCTCTCCCCATAGAAGGCCATGACTTTCATACTGTCCCAATTCCCCTTATTAGCTCGAGCGATCGTACCGATGTCGAACTTTCTCGGATTGATGTCAACGCCGATGAT